CCCCTTTCAACACCATCAACCAGAGAAATTGACAGGGAAATCAACAGAAGTAAAGCTTACAAATCAATTTAAATAATCAAATATTTAGCCAATATTATTACAATTATATACGTCTTATCTGTATTACTTTCTAGTTGATCGTTTTTGTGAAATGTTGGAGCATAATTTACGCTCAGTAGCACAGGAACCAGAGCAACTGATCGAGGGGCCGTTAGATTCAACTTCACCAAACAGCCCAGCCCGTGGAGCTGTCAATAGATCTCGTAAGCTAAAACAATAAAACATTCATACATATATAAATTCAAAAGGTCTAAGCTTTCATTGTATATATTTCAGCAGGTAATACTCGCCAGCGTGTTTCCGAACAAATTCTAAATCAGAATAGCTCTCCAACTCCAGACGTAGTTTTGGTTGATCTTAGTGATTCAATGAATATGCCTGCCCCAATAAGACCTCCGAATCAATTAAATATGAGTGACGATGTAATCATTGTAACGCCAAGTGAAGATGAAATCGTTGATCTTTGCACGCCTACAATCGTTCGAAAGATCTTTCATTGTAGAACCAACTTTAATGATAGGATGTTTCCAAATTCCGATGTGAATGTAATTGGTACTATAAATGGTGGCGGAACAGCCGAAATTCCGATTGCACAACCAACAAACGACGATAGACCTTCATGGCGACGCTCATTATCCTCGTATATGTCTAGGGAAAGGCCAAATGTTGCCAGTTCATCGCGTAATTCCGTTTCAACAGCAACTTCAAGAGCAAGTATTGGCAACGTTAAGAATCGGATCAACAACCAAAATAAGAATCGTGCAAATAGAGCGCCTGGTGCGCCTTCTAACGTTTCCGTCGCCACTGTAACGACCAACAACAGCACCAGCAGCAACAACAATAACAACAACAATAACAGCGGTCGTGCACCACTAATGTGTGCAGTATGCATGGAAAGCAGCATTAATAATCAACCTACCTCTACCAAATGCGGCCATGTATTCTGTGCTAATTGCATACGCCAAGCTTTACGGTTGACACGCAAATGCCCCATGTGCAACACAAAGCTCACGCCAAGCATGCTGTTTCGTATATATGTTTAAGTGAAGTCTGAAACTTGCGACAAAGATGAAAATGCACTTTTGCATTTAAGACAAAGCAGACTGGTTTTTGCAAAGTTCCGAATGTCTAATTAGCACCGTCTTACATGTTATCTGTTGCTCTGATTCTGTCAATAGAAATTTAATGTTTGAATGTATATCCATAAGTGATTCTATTTAGCAAGAACTTACTGAATTTTGTTTTACCTAAATTAAATTAGTCCACACATAAGTTGTTATTACGCTTATTGTAATTATAAGACGGATCATTATATGCTATGTTTTTTCCATTTTTTATATTTCAAACTTGCGCTTGCATTCACTTACATACATATTTATACTGGCTTTTGAAATTTAAGTGTCATACTTTGAGAGCAGGTTAACGGTCCTAATATTCTTTAATTAATTTTCTTCCAAACACTCTTTGTAAACAAGCTAAAACTCTTTGAATAGTCGAAATTATAGAAAACGAAAATGTAAAATTTCTGAACGACTTCTTTTCATGGTAAACAACTAATAGGTATCATTGCGGCCCTTTAAAAATTTTATTTTTTTTCTACTCGGCGGCATATTAGTTAACGTAAAAATTTCTAGTTCAAAACTATTATGAAGGTCAGCTTCAAGCGCCGAAGCAAATTCAAAGTCGTTCTTATTCATTACGAATCCACAATCAAACTTCTGGTGACAAGTTTTACGATATTAGAAATCTCAGCGTTAAGAAAATCGTGGCCCATGATAGAGCCAAAAAGAAAGATGTCACAAAAAATAGCTCTTGAGTAAGCATCTATTCAGAAGGTGATAAAAAATGCCTTAAATTATATTTTCATTTTCCAGTGCATATTCTGAAAATCCAGAATGGGCTGAACTCTTTCGCTTCGATGGGAAGACTGAAAACAATTCGTTAATTTATCATCCTCTATGTGCGTTGGATATTTATGGTACCACCATAAAGACCAATCTTGATACGAATTATGCCATAGTGAAAATAATCCTACTAATACTAGAAAAACGTTGAAATCGTTTTATTCCAATGCCTTATTTAAAGGTAAAGTATTGTGGGAGGTTGTGCGTGTACATATGTGCATATTTTTGTGTGTACATATTATGTATGTATGTGTGTATATTTAATTTTTCAGGATTTTCTTGAATGCGTTAAACATCAAGTACTCGAGGAATTGCATCTACGGATGGGTCATTAGCGTCGTTGAGGATCAAACTTTGCAAACGAATCGTTTGTCCGTAAAGCATATCTGCTGCCAATGCTCCCAGATCATCCTTTACTGCTGTTCTTAGACCGATGGCGTTGTAAATGTCTCAATCCGGGGTAACAAATCGGCGACGAAGTTCTCAGCTCCGCTGACATGTCTGATGTCGGTTGAAAATTGGCTTATAAAATTTAACTGCCGTGTCTGACGGGGTCGATGGCTGAGTGGAAGATCGACCTATCTCGGCAGCCAGTTCGAAAACGTTCTATCTCAAAAAACTTTTCAAGAACGTCCTATTTCAGAATTTAATTGAAAAACACCCTATAGCGCCGCCCCCAAAGCAAAGTCTAACGGGATATGCAATCCGTGCGGCATTGGCAAATTGCGTTTTTAGTTCTTCAAACGCCCTAGTTGTTTCGGTCGTCCAGTTAAGCTTGGTGTGGTCCTTTTTCTTACAAGGGCCCATACTTTTTTGCAGTGGCGCCTCGACAGCGGCGGCGTGTGGCAAAAACCTCCGGTAAAAATTTACCGCTCCCAAAAAACTGCGGAGCTCGTGCACTTCCTTCGGTTCCTTGCAATCGATAATGCCTTTAACTTTTCGTGGCAGAGGTCTTATGCCGTTTCGCGTCACCAAGTGGCCTAGAAACTCCACTTCAGGCTGCGCGATTTGGCATTTATCGCTGTTTATAACTATACCATATTCCCTATATCGCTGGAATAACTGCTCGAGATGCATTTCATGTTCCTTCGCTGACTTGGACGCCACCAGTACATCGTCCAAATACGGGAAAACAAACGGTAATCCCCTAACGGCCTCATCAATAAACCTCTGGAACGTAGTCCGAATGTCATAAATTTGAAATCAAACAATCCAAATGGGATTTGGTGATACGCCTTCTTGCAGTTCACTACAGAAAATATAACCTTTCCGTGCTACTCACAAGCGAAATCCTGGATGTGACGAACGGGATAGCTGTCTGCGATAGTCTTAGCATTTAAGAGTCTGTAATCCCCGCAGGGACGCCAGGAACCATTCGGCTTCTTAACCATATGTCAAGGACTGGCCCACTGTCCTTTCGACCTTTGACATATTCCGCCCTCCAGAAGGTATTCCAGAAGGTATTCCAGAAGGTATTCCTTCGCAATCTCTAGATTTTCGGGTGAGAGCCGTCTTAGCTTCTGCGCGATAGGTTCTCCTTCCGTTTCTATATAGTGCTGAGTTGATGTTGCCTGCTTCACTAGCTTCTTTGAGTCGTCCGTCAAGTCGGCGTAGCGCACCAACAGCCTGTGGAAATTATCTGCTCCCCTAAGTGAAACAGTATTTTGTGGCAGTTTGGCAGTCTGGCACACTGTATGCAATTTTGTCTTTTGATCTACGAGTTTGTTTTTAATGTCTACTAAAATGTCGAAATTATGCAAAAAATCATCCCCCATAATCGGCCCAACCAAACTTTCTATTTAAACCCAGATCCAATGTTAGGTATTTTCTTCCATACGTGTTAATTTGTGTATTGTTTTCTGCAATCAACTTCATCGGTGAAAGTACTCAGACATCTCACAGCCCAATAGGCGAGATCTCGAACTAGAAATGTGATCAAATTTAGCCAAACTAAATACATAACGTGTTACGTGATTAAAAACCACTTCAATTTTATGGGCAGATTGAGAATTAAGCTTGCTGTAAATACATTCAGGATAACAGATTATTGGCAAAGTCAGTTGTATTGCAAGTTTTCTCCTGATGTCGTCCGGCGTAGGTTCGTCACTTTAGACACAAGTTTAAGTCACCTATTATTAATATATAGGTTAGGTATGGCAGAAAAGGCAATGCGACGTTTAGAAATTTGTAACACATAGGAATTATCACTGTTAAGACAAAGCTAATTTTTTAACGCCCAAGATGATATAGAGGACAGATCACAGTTAAACCTAGAGCACAAGGAGACTAATTGGTCATGGGGTCCTGACAAGTAGAGCTGAATAACGTCTGCATATGCATGCATTTGCACGGACTTGCATGCACTAAAAATGTCATTTATAAATAAACTTACTAGTAGCGGTCCCAGTATTGAGCCTTGGGGCACACCAGAGGTATAAGACTAGAATATTCGGTACACAACCTTACACGCTGAGTCCTACCCTCTAGGTAGCTGCTCATCAGTCGTACAGCAGACTCCCCGAAACCAAAATTATTACGTAATTTGATGCAAAGTAGTCTATGATTCACCAAGATTTGTAGCATAATTAGCTTTACAAATTTTATTGGTATCCTATCTGCGCCGATCGCATTTGAACGTATCTTATAAATTCACCTTGCCACATCAAATTCTGACACCGCATTGAATTCAAATGACTGGCACAGCCAGAGAGGAAATTATGGGGTTGCAAGCAGGAGCACTAGGTGATACAGCACGATTGACAAATAGATCATTAAGCTCTTCAGGGTTAATTAAATAATCAGGACTGTCACTAACATGTACACGCAGGTTTTTTAGATTACGCCAGAAAACATTAACCTTTTACCAAAGAACTTGCACTTTTCACACTTAATAAGAGCAGTTCGTTCAGTTCTTCTTCCAAATAGAGTACGACTTGTTACGTTTTATTTATAATAATAGACCGAACAACTTTGTTGAACCAAGGGAACGACGGTGCTCGATTTAGAAGAGTGCGTACTGGGACATGAGCCCTAAATAAGCTTACAACATTTTCATGCAGAAAGCTCAACTTTTCATTTACAGAGCTTAGGCTCCAACAACCACTGCAATCAATGCGGGATAAGTCAGAAGATAGATACAAACTGTTGTAACTTTTTACCCTTAAGGATTACCATTTCTGAGATATAGCGATTCATAATATTGTGTTCACCATAATATGCACAATTTATACTGTATTTGTGCAGTAGTGTTTTTGGGGCGCTAGGCCTGCTCCACGACAAATTGTAGTCCCGTTTTAACTAAATGATTTGGCATGAAATAAAAATAGTACCATGTATTGTGGAACGATTTTCCGTCATCCCTTGTCAAATTTGGTTTGGAGACAAACCGGTTTCGACGTTGTGCCATCTTCAGTGTCCTACTCCTACCCTGTCGGAAACAAAAACAACCAAAAAGAAAAATAGTACCATTGGAAGTGATGAAAGCGGTATGAATTAAAAGTAATTAGACGGAACGACCCAGATTTATATCTGGCCAGGGACTATCACTCCAGCAACACTCCCCAAAATCTCTTTGGGGAATTTGTGTGCTGTTACAACAACAACAAAAGTAATTAGAGAAAACTATTCATCTAAATGATAATTACACTATGTAGTTTAAATCCGAATAAATTCCATTCAGGAAGTGTGATTGAATTATTCCACTTTTTATGCTGCTTCCAAAAACCATCCCTGTGGGTGGGAGTGTCATATTTTAGAAAAAGCTACCCCGAAAAGTGACAATGAAACTACACACATATTTTTAGCAGTAAAACGGATATTACAAATGGGTAATCAAAAAGAAATAGTTTTCTTAACACTTTTATACTAAATAGTCTTCATTTACTAATAAAATCAGATTCATATATCGAGTTCGTAGCTGAGAAAAAACTTCCGGCCGTGTTTCCAAAACCATTGGAGTCGTTTGATAGGAAACCAATCGTAAATGATTTGGGGCTAACGCAGACTGAGATTAAATCACTACAAAATGCTTGGAATATTATAAAGAAGAAGCAGCGGCAAGCTGGCGTCACCATATATATAAAGTGTATAAAGCTGTATTATGAGCTAACCCATACTAAACTTGATTATACATTACAGTCTCTTCTCCGGGAATGAACAACTCTACGAAATGTATCGTACTCGTAATGGCAAATTGCATACCGAATTTGCGGCACAGCATCAAAAAATAGTGTTGGGTGTATTTCAAAAGATCGTTGAGCAGTTGGAAAATACACGTTTTATTAAGACACTTCTTAAAGAAGTATCGGCTAAACATCTATCTGTACATGTGACGCACTACCATTGGCAGGTAAGGGGCTTGCTGACAAACGCTCTGTAGTGAAACAGATAGAAGTTATAGAACCTATTTCGGAAATCACCACAACTACCCAGCATACTTCCTCATGGCACTCACTGGGATTTGAACCAGTGAACTGCGTTGGACGCTGGACATACCGAGCTAACAATACAATAAAGACAGACACTCCAAACACGTCAGCAACATACATACCTCTAGCAGCTTACGTAACGCCATTATTGAGATTGCGAAAGATGACCCTACCACCTGCTCATACAAAACGGCGAAACGACATATTTAAACACTGACGAAACTTATATGTAATACCTAAGAAAACCCTAGTATAACCGATTTAATACTGTTTACAAATAGGAATAAAGTACCCCAATTTAGACTTCCATCTATAGGTGGTTAGACAATCCCCTATCATCCAATGCGAAATATTTGGTGGTCATTTTCGACACTAAATTAAACTGGAAACCTAACTTGGAGAAACGTAAAGTGAGGGTTTACATCGCTAACTATAACTTCGATAGTAGCTGGGGCTTAGCACTGAAAGTTGTGATTTGGATGTACACCGCTATAATAGGGCCTATGGCACCTTAGTATACTGACCAGCTTTACGTAACAAATGCAATGTCCGTAGACTAAATAGCGTACCTAAACTACATTACTTCCTAATGGAAGATTCCGGATCGGACCACAGATACATCGACTTTCAACTTGGCTACTTGCTCTGCGCCAATGCGAATCTTGAAAAAGAACAAATAACCAGACCACAATGCCACTTAGGATACGATCCACTCAGGCCATTGATGAGGCGGTGGTTAATTTAACCGCTGCCCTACGTGTCAGTTTAGATACGGCTTGCCCGTCTCGTCCACCCCTTAGCCGTACGCATGTTTCCTGGTGGAACAAGGAGCTTCATAAGTTGAGGGGTGAGTCGAGAAAACTTTTAAACCGAGCCCTCAAAACTAATTTTGAGTTGGACTGCACGTAAAGAGATTTTACGAGGCTAATTTGCTCTTTGAAGAATACAGCAGCGGGATGAAAACCTTGGTTTCAAACGTCTAGGCTGGTAAAAGTTCTGAAAAAGGACCAAACCACAAAGCAGGGTTCGCTCAAGAGGCCTGATGGCTCCTTAACGAAGACTAGGGTTGAGACTCGCTCTGTTCTTCTAAAGATTCAATTTCCTCGAATTCATGTGATGGTTACGCCTTCCTATCCATGGACTGGAGAAGTACAAGGTATAACTGGTTTGTTGCTAGAACTATGGCGAATAAAGATGACATACGATATGTTATTGAGTGTTTTGACAGTTTCAAATGGCACGGTCCGGGTGGCATCCTACTTACTGTACTTAAAGAAGGTGTTGGGCTTTTGTTGGCGACCTCGAAAAAGATTTTAATAGCGTCGCTTGTACTTGCTTACATACCACAACCTTGGAGGCTGGCTGATGTCCCCTTATACCTAAGGTTGGTAAGGATGACTTTACTAGCTCCAGAAACTATAGGCCTATTAGCATAACATGCATGCTAAAATGTCTGAAAAGATTAGTAGAGTAGCGCATTCGCAGGGAGGCGCTCTCATCAAATCCTCTGTCTTTGCATCAACATCCCTATCAGGCGGGGAGATCCTATCAGACGGCTTGGAAAAATCTGGTTGCCTGAACTAGCAATGCCATCAATAGGAAAGAATTCGCCTTGGGCAGTTTTGTAGACATATAGGGTGCTTTTTACAATGCCACCTTCGACACTTCTGCTCTACGGCATGGGGTACAGATTCTGCACTGGTAAATTTTATTCGTTTAATGCTAGCGCAGCGTGTCATCAGGATTCAGGCAGAAGGAGGTCATTATGTCACGTACGGAGTGAACAAGGGCTGCTCTCAGGATCGTGTGATTTCCCCTTTGCTCTGGTGCCTGGTATTGATTCTCTATGCGTCAGTGGTATGGTGGAGCAGACTCTCAATCAATAGCCTGAATAGTCTGCTTGCTAAACTTCAAAAAACTATTGCCGTGTGCTGTACGCGAGCTTCCTCTCCAACACCTAGCGTTGCACTGCTGCACTTACCGTCACTTTGACTATAAATAAACGGATGTTGGTATAACACTGAGTGATGTGAGGAGGAAATTGCTGGCGGCAGTACCTGTGTCTTTTCAATGCCACAGGATAGTAAGCCACCATTACGTTTGTTGCGCTTCTGCCTCACCTTTGCAAGAATGAGGTATGAGACATTTGGCCGCGATATGTTGAGAAACGAACACCTGAGGTTTTTGACATCAAAACAGTACAACCGACGGCATACAGTCTGAGTTTTGTTTTTTGCACGCGTTGTTGGTGCCTGGTTCCGACAAAAAAAAAGACTCACTTAGTCGGGCTGTAGAAAGCGAAGGACTCTGGCCAGAAAAATAACACCAAAGCTGTTAAGTAGGTCAAGGGTGGAAATATTTAGAATTATAGCGCCCATTAGCGGCTATTAGCTGGTAGGAAATCATGCTCTTAGAATAGGACTTCCTTACAACAATATATCCCGGTAAGTTGAGTTGGAGAAACCAGCCCATAGTCATATGCCAGATTTGGTTGATTACACTGTTCAGGATATTATGGAAATCGTCTTGGATTTGCATCTGTATAGCGGATACGATTGTGGGGCCCCATAGAAAGATTAGGCCTAATAAATTTCGTAGATCAATCTCAGGGTGAAAAGTATGAGTTCGGTCTTTTGTCCATCCATGGTCTGTTTGACGCGAAACTCGGTCGGTACACTCAAAAAAAAACTCCTCTTAATTGAAGGAAAACAGCAATCAAAATAAAGAAAAAATGGGAACGAAATAGCACTGAAGAAGTTTTATCCTCTTTCCATGCCCAACATTTCTTCAAAATGATAGATTACATCCACGGTTCCATATTTTCGTGTACGTTTTTACACATTCCAAAGAAAAATTACTCATCGGGAGAATTTTTTATTCATTCGGAAGAATTTTCGACCTTAAAGTAAGGAGAGTTTTTCTAGAGTGCAAGGCCACAAAAATCGTTTGTATTAAAAAATGGAAAAATAAACAATTGGGCATTATTATTGGGAGACTTCCGAAGACAAACAGAGTTTTTCGATCGAGAAATATTGGTTTTTGAAGAGATCTCTTCTACCATTTCTACGAAAAATTGTTGTTCTCCATACAAAATACAAGGCAAATTTTGAGCGCTTTGAGCGACTCTAAACATTTTTTGATTTCAAAAAAATAAATATACATATATACTTTTTTCGGTATAGAACAACCGCATGGGGTGGGAGCACTGATGTACATACATACATATCGCCACCTCAAAAAGTCATAACTAATAGAAATTCAAAATTCGCTTTTTGATTTATATGATGGATTTCATCGAACAACAGCTCCCCACATTAGTTTATGAAAAAAAATAAAAAATTAGTCACGACTTTTTTCATTTCATTTACGATATTGTTACGTCCTTTTGCATTTCAGGTACATATATATTCATTACGGCGTGTCAATTTGTATGGGAGATTATTTCGACTATGCGCGTATAGCACAGAAGGATTCTACATGTAATTCTAAGAAAATTTCCTAAAGAAACCATGTTTCTAAAATCGTAAAGAAGTGCTTAAATTTTCATTTATATTCTTCTCAAAATTTCCGCTAGAGGGCGCAATAGTGAAAATTTTCAAATTTTCTTCGAAACTTACTATGACAATTTGGTAAACTCCAAATTGTTTTTAGACTCATGGTTTCTTTGGAAAATTTGGTTAGAATTTCATGAAGAATCCTGCTATGCTATACGCGCATACTACAAAACACTGACGCGCCCTAATATTCATACCTGAAGTATGCACAAATGATCCATATCATAAAATGACAGGCTATTTAGTCTTTGATTTTAGTTTAATTGTTTGTATTAAAACATATTTTTCCCCCTTTTACTGCAGCTTTATACAAACGAAGTCAAACGATATTTTGTGGAGACATTGAGTGGTCACAGTTCGCCAACTTTTGTTCGTGCATTGGATACTCTTATGGATAGTGTCTGCAAATTTAATGTAACAGAATAATCGATGAAAAATATAATTATAAAATTTCGCATAATATACGTAATACGTTTTTGAACCACGATTTCTATAATTCTTTTTTCAAGAAAAGGTGTTACCTCATAGGTGGTCCCATACTAATTTCGTTTAAATCCGATCAATGGATCATGAAGAAATTAACTATCGTTAAATTTGTATCTTAAATTTTTGTATAAGAATTGAAGTCGACTTTGTTTTTGGCTTAAAAATTACTTGTTTACTTAAAAATTACTTGTTTGAATAATAGTTGCTAAACAAGAAGTCGTGATGTGGTTAAATTTGGGTGATAGGTAGGTAGTTGAATTGTGCCAAGGACGCAGTTTGCAGTTTTCGATCCCATACGGATCCTTCGGTTTGATTAGACAGTCCAGTTGGAAAAATTTAGTCAAACTGAGTGGCCACATCGCCGTCCCACAAGTTTTTACAGTAAGAATCTAAATAAATACTTAGTCTAAATGCGCGAAGCTTTATTGAACAATGACAACGTTCTCACCAGCATTGAGAGTGGTGGCTTTCTGAGCCCAAGAGGAATATATTTTGGCTTTCGCTAAATAGTTTTGAGGGTACGGTGAGCCAGGCCAAAGCCCTGTTAGCCGTTTGGACATCAAAGTAGATATATACTCATGGACCTTAGAGATGCCAGATCGAAAAAAAAAGATTTTTGCAACGAATTCGAAACGGAATAAAATAATCGATGCATGCAGAAATTTAAAAAAAATAAATCGATCTTCCCAGATCTAATCATTTATATTGATAAATAACGTTTTTAACTTAAGTTTTATAATGAAACGAAACACGGATCTGGCCAAACTTTTATTGTGAGTAATTTTTAAAACATACATACATTGTTCATAATGGTTTCAACATCCAGATTTATTCGAAAGCTATCAACTTGCTAACAATCCGTAAATACTTTTGAAAAAAAAAAACCACAAAAATGTGAGATAAGGTAATAATTCTTTTCCCACGTCCACGTGTCCATCTTCTACTAAATGTGTCTTAACATCTGTCAAATTTCTGTTTAACTTTATCCCGTTTTCTCATGTGGGCAACTTGCTATCTTAACAAATCACTTTCAAAATGGCATCAAGCCAATCAGATCGATCTGTACCCAATAGAAATGGTGCGGTAAAACAAGAACTGAGTTGTCAAAATAGAACTAATAAATCGACAAAAAGTCAAATCGGAAGGGCTAGATTAATTGATCTTCGATTTAATAGGCTTTAAAAGGGTATCTCTAATGTACATACAAATGCATGTATCTTCCTTATCGACGTGAATAAGACAAGGATTAGAGACCGGTTGAGATCGGTCAAGTAGTTTTTTGAGATAAACATACATGATATAAGTGGGCAGTGCCACCCCAATATTGATGAATTACTTAGTCACACTAGTCAAAAAATCTGAAAGCACATAAACGATATAAATTCTAGGCCGTATTTAGGAAAAGTCGCCTAACTTCGATAACTTTTACGCGAATGCAATACACGAGCCCTCAGTTTATTTAAAAATTGATTTATTTTAGATAGTACTCCATATTTTGAGGCTGTAGATAGAGAAATGGGGGTCTTTTCTTAATTTATCCTATAAAAAATTCCAACAAGTCTGGACTAGGCAATAGATTTTTATAAACCATTTTAGGAGCATATATATCCTCCTCTTAGATCATATTCGATCTTTGAAATCGAATCAAAAATAGTCATTCAAAAACTTATAAATCTACAAAATCGTACTTCTGACCTAAATCGACAGGTCGCAACCTCTAAATGACCTTGAAAAAAATCTATAAAAAGTGGCAATAATATTTCTCATAAAAACGAATAAAATTAGGAGGTACATACTTATGCACATATATTGGGTATGAGGCAAACTAGATATGTAATGTAAGTTCCACTTCTCCAGTGTGACCCAGGCGCGCTTACTTTTCTGTCAAAAATAAAAGTTAAAATTTGACTTTTTTCGATAAATTTTAATTGAAAAAAAAAAACAATCAAAGTAAAAATGCAGTCCCTTTTAATTGCACTTCTCTATATTCTGTTAATATATTTCCCTAAACAATTCATTCTAAAATTTTAAGTTCTATTTTTGTTAGAAAAAATAAAGTTGAGTTAAATGCTAGATTTCCACTTGGCATAAAATGGCAAAAATGACAAATGACAGAGTCGGGCATTAAAAAATAATCGTGTCATTACATTAAAAAAAGTGTCATTAAGTTCATTTTTGTCATTCAATTCATTTCAATGCCTAGTGGAAATTCGTCATAAAATGTTTCTTTGACTGAAATAAATTTTTAACTTTTATATTGAATGAGAAAATAGAAGTAAAAATTTTTTACTGAAAAAACAAAAGGCGAACTTTAACTAATGACTGAAAAAATAAAAGAAAGATTTAAATTTTTTTGTTGGCCAAAAAACTGCCATTTGGCATCTTTGGCTACCCTCCAAATAATATACTGAATGGTGGTAATAAGCTAAATTATTGAAAGCCCAAAAAAAAATTAAACTTTTATCATACTCTGCAATCATGGAACTAAGCCCCAGTAATTGACATAAAAATAATCTAATGCGTCGGGGAATATGTACGAGTATAATAGGGGCGTGCAACGCTATTTCTTATAAAATCATTTTACTAATGGTGTTTTCGCTTCTACCAAAAAGTGTCGCATTTTGATTACACCTTTCTCTTTTCGTGTTCGATTGTAAAATAAGGGCAACCGGTCACATTCTTGTAAGGCACACACATTTTGCACCATGAAAGAGCAACATTTTTTGATAGAAACGTCATCAGTTGCCAAATTAGAGCATAATTTACTATAACAGTTTTAAATTTATAAGGGTGGATGTACATATGCATATACATTTTACATACTATTACTTACTAAAAATGCAGCTAAAAATTATTGGGAAGTTACGCATACGCCCCGGTGTTGGACAAACGAGCTTCTAAAATTTATATTAAGAACTTATCAGAAAATGCCTATTGCAACTTATCAAATACAAGAAGGAATAATATGTTATTCTGAACTTGGTAAATAAAGCATAAAAGCAACAACAGTTTCTAAGCTTTGCATATCACACTATCCAATACTCCATCAACAAAAGGTTGGCAGATGCGATCAAATAATGTACATTATTTTTTTAAATTCCATTTATATTATAAAGGCTGCGTTTCTTTACACATTCCGGATAATCCCATTTCACAGCCGGAATAAACAGAATGCGTTTGAAATATACATCAACATATCATCAGGAACGTTCTAAAGAATAAATAAACAAAAAAGTTTATTCCAAACGTTCAGAATGAATAAAGAAATGCAGCCAAAATCAAATAAATAATTTTGTACTATTTATTGTATGTTATATAAAGTTATTATAAACGTAATAGGTTATGACCATACCAAATTCTTTGACACTTAAATTTACGATTTTCAAAAAGTGGAGTTAGCCGATGTGTGCACTGAACGGCTCATAAGTAAGTACAGTTAAACATTGTTAAAATGTTACTGATTAACACACATACGTACATGAATAAATACCTGCAATTGCGTGCACATATGTATGTATGTAAATTACTTTATATACAAGAACAGTTACGAATAAACAAAGTACTCGTATTTACACTTGCGACCACGACTCGGCTTTATTTAAAAGGGCCCGGCTGACTAGCGGCTATATTAGTTAGTAGCCGACTGACTGTCTTTAGGATGCGGTTAGCATCAATTTCATGTGCCAAACATACATACATACATCGCTACAATACTCTACTTATTTAAATTCGCATTTACCTTAAGAACTTTAGTTTCTCATTGACTTTTGTGCTGTTTAAAGTGAAATGTTGGTGCTCCAATTGAAATAGTTTTTTGTAGTTAAAGTGAAAAAGAATATTGTAAAATTAAATATGAAGAACTAATACCCATTTAATATATTGTTTAAAAAGGATATTTTTTTTGCTCTGTTTAATTATTGTGGCTGTAAATTTTATTACGAAATAAAAAAAAATATTGCTTGAGGCGAAATGACGGAAAAAGTGGTTACCATAAAGAATATGTCGGTGGAAGGTAGTAAGATAAAGGTAAGTAGGTTTTTTTTTGTGTTTTATTTTGTTGATCAAATAAAATTTGTTAACCGAAAAAATTTTTTAAGCAAAAAAAAAATCCGACTTCAATTCTCATAAATATTTAAAATTATCGTTAAAATCTTCATGATTCAATGATAGGATTTAAACCACACTAGTGAACCCGCATGGCGTTAAAACGCCCAACACTTAATTTAAAAAACTTAAAAAATATTCCAAAACTTAGTCAGAGTTGTATCTTCAGTCAGAGAATGTATCTTTTTAAACACGTGGCAACCCTCTTCGAAAATTCCAAATGGTCAAACTAAAGACTTCTTAACATTCTTTCGTCTGACTACGATATTTTTATATTTCTTATTTCTTCAAAAGTTTTCAAGTATAATCCTTGTTAACTCTCCTTCGCCTGGCATTGCGATAAATATTTTAATTAATTGATGAATTAGTGGAATTTGATTTTTTTTAAATATTTCAACCCCGCCAAGTACAGCCCAGCAATAAAAGTTTTTCAAACGCCCTTCGATTGATACCCATATTTTAATAATTCATTAAACTTATTAAATAATTTGAAGTTAACTTTTTAAACTGGTGGCAACCCTCTTTCAACACCTCGAAAATATTCTTAGCATTCAAATTATATATTGCTTAACACTCCTTCGTTTGACATCCGTATTTTGATGTTTCATATAACTTGTGTATAAGTAAATTTAATTCGACATTTCAAGGAAGTGGCAACTCTATTAAAAATATTTTCAAGCTACTACTCTCTGAAACCTCTTTCGTTTGGTACTCATATGGTGATACATATTTCTCTTACCTAATATGATTTTTTGAACAGGTGGCAACTCTCCTATAGTTCAGCTAGGAAACAAAGATTTTCAAAAGCATTTCGGTTGATAATCATTTTGTAATAATTGATTTATTTTTTTTTTATTATCTAATTTGAATATAAATTTTTAAAAGGTGGCAAATCCTTTAAAAAAAATTAAAACCTTATTGCACAACTACAGTCCGAGCC